TCACATTGCCTTTGCAACAGCTGAAGTCTGGCACTCCTCCATCTCTCCTGCACCTCTAGATACTGGCGTACCCTGTGTCCGGAACATTCAGGTGAGCTAGTTGGGAACTCTTGCCTCGAGGTATCTCCAACTGGGGGTGCTGGGCCAGGCTCTTCCTCCAACTCCTCAGGTGCTGGCAAAGGTTCCTCTTTGGGGCTGACTCCAGAGGAGGCTGGGTTGCTCTGTGCCTCTTCCTTGTCTGAGGAATTGTCAGCCTCAGCTGAGCCAGGACCCATGACACAGCCCACCAAAGGTAGCCAGAGTGCCTTACTTCCTGTATTAAGGCCTGTGAAGCCTATTCTGTTTTCTTGTAAAAAGCAGGCACACAGAGTAGGCTCAACTCATCCAGTTCCAAGACTGCAAACTAATGAAAAAAACCACCCCAACTGTATTTAGGGTGGGGCCTAGAGATTACAATTGATCTCCAGATGGTAGAGATCAATTCCCCTGGAGAAAATGGCTGCTTTGGAAGGTGGACTCTATGGCATTGCACTCTGTTGAGGTCCCTCCCTTCTCCAAATCCTGTCCTTCCCCAGGCTCCACCCCCAAAATCTCCAGGTATTTTCACATCCAGAGGTGGCCATCCTAATTGTATTCCAGTTGTTTATTAACTGGCCTTTGAGGCTATTTAACTGAATGTATCACTACTCTTCAGTGACTTGCCTGAAAAAACAGCCCTGAGACTGCATAGAAAGAAACCACTTAGGGAAGACTGTTTGTTCAGTAAGCAAAAGCACCAAGCTGTTAGGATGCTGCCCCAGGAAGTTCACTGAGACCATTTTCTCAGTAGTGAAATTCCCCAAATTGACATTTTTAAAACTGCACGTTATGTGAAAATTTCTGCAGTAGATTTTTCCTGACCAGGCACAGACCCGAAGTTTTCTCCTTCTTAACCCGCGTTTTTGGAACTCTCTAAAACTGGGGATTCTGAAAACATTGGGTAAAAAGGAGAAAACTTTTGGTCTGCACCTGATGAGGAAAAATCTGCTGTGGAAAGTTTAATGCACAGTTTTAAAAAACATCAATGCAGGGAATTTCACTACTGCGGAAATGGTCTAGAGACTAAAAAAATCAAAGCCCCCACATTGTATATTTAGATTGATAATGTTGTAAATGCAATCTAGTATCAGTAGCATGGATCCTCTCCACAAATAATGAGTGAGGGGTAGCCATTCTCTAAGGTATAGCCATGTCATTATTTATAGCTATTTAATGGGGATGGATGAATGCTGTGTGGCTGGCTCTACACAGGGAGGAACACTGCACATCCAACAAATATTTTTTGGAAAAAAATAAGTAATATAATTTGGGGAAGGGGGAATGAAACGATGGAATCATGCAGGAAGAAGGAGAGCTTTGTCATTGATTTTTAAAGGGACCTGCTGGATGAGTGCCCCAGTTGTGGTGTTGCATAGCAAACAGACCAAACCAGTGCTGGGACTATTTTTATTTTATTTATGTTATTTATAGTCCACTTTTCTCATGAGGACTCAAGGTTTATTGCACATAGCAAGTCAGTACAATAAAAAAAATTAATTGTACAATAAAAAAATCATTCAATAACGAATGCATTAGGATTTTAGAAGTCTGGAACCACCAGAAAGGACTGAAGCATAGCATAAGTATTAACATGACACATTAAGGGGTACAAAAATTACACAATAGGAACCTACTTACAATAAGCTATAAATAGTGGTATAGACCACAGTCTCTAATCATTATCCAAGTAGGTTTGTGAACCATTTTGTGCAGGGTAACCATATTATCTATGCAGAAAAGCCCTCTTGAATAATTCAGTTTTGCATAGTTTGTGGAAAGCCAGGAGAGTGGGATCTTTCCTAACCTCCTTGGGCAGGTCATTCCATAAGGTGGGAGCCACAAGGGAGAAAACACAGGTGCATGGACAGTTGTTGATTTTGCCCATTTGCAGGTTGACACCGGCAGAAGCCCCTGCTGACATGAATGAAGTAGTCATGGCAGAGCATAGGGAGTGAGGTGGTTCTGCAAATAAGGCCATGAAGGGCTTTGTATGTGATAGCCAGTACCTTAAACTGAGCCTGGTAACAAATGGGCAGCCAATGGGGCATCTGCAGAATGGGAGTAATATGCATGCTTTCGCTAATAGCCAAGCCACACATTCTGGACCAGCTGGAGTTTCATACCTGATTTTGAGAGGAGACCAATGAGAGGAGTTTTAGAGAGGAGACGGTAGTCTAGTTTTGATGTTATTGTGACATGGATCCATGTGGTCAGGTCAGCTGTATTAGGGTAAGGGGCTGTCTTATGGGCTAGGCTGAGTTGGTAGAAAGCATTTTTTGGAGCTGCATTAGCTTGCTTCTAGGACCTAAAAGACTTGGGTTCAAATCCCCACTCTGCCATGAAGCTCAGTGGATGTCTTAAGGCAGTCAGCCTTCTCTTAGTGCAACCTAGCTCATGGTAAGAACGATGTACACTGCCCTGTGCTCATTGGAGGAAGGGAACAGGAAAGATTGTTAAACCATGCATCCGTTAAAAGCATGAAACAAACATCCACAAAGAAAAAATATCACAAAGTAGCATGGGTAAGTGCAGGTTGTGGAAGGTCGGTAGTTTAGCAGTTCGAGACCCGGGTGCCCAGTGCTGGCTCAAGGTGTTTCTGCGCCCTAGGCGAGGCTGCCTTGTGGTGCAGATGCCAACCTTCTGGTGGGGCCTGGAGACCTCTGGAGCCAGCCACCTTTTTGCCACCGCCACCACCATCTCCTCCCCCTCGCCGCCGCCCCCGAAGGGGGGGAGGAGGGAGGGAGGTGCGCCTCTCTCTGGCCAAGCCCGCAACAGGACCCACTCCTCTGCCTCTTCGGCCCCTGGCCTCCTCCTTGGGAGGCAAGGAAAGAAGAAGAAGAGGGTGTGGGGGGGGCTCCTCTGGTCAGAGTGGAGAGACTCCTCTCTCTGCCACCTGCTGCCTGCCGCCTGTCTCCCTTCCCCGGTCCGGTCCTCTTTCCCAACAGGACAAGCCATGCAGCACAAGCCCCCCCCCCCAGCCTTTGCAAGTGGCAAGCACTGCTTACGTAAACTTGGCTGCAGAGTCTGGGGCCAGGCAGGCGGCACTAGGACCTGGCGGCAGTTGGACCCAGCGAGCGTGCCCCGCACATTCCTGCAGCGTCCTCCGAGACGGAAGAGAGATTTCTCTAGCGCTTCTGAAGGCAGTCTGGTAGGGAGGTGGGGGGGATCCTGTCTTCAGGTGGGGGATGCTCGCTGGATGCCTCTCCCCAATTAGCGAAGCACTGACATTTGGAGAGCTGCTTGCGGACTTTTGGTGGGGGGGAGGCACAGTTTGGCGCCCCATCCAGGGCCCGCCACCCCATCCAGAGCCCGGCACTCTAGGCGAATGCCTAGTTCGCCTAGTGGGTGAGCCGGCCCTGCGGGTGCCGCATGATGGAGTGAGCTCCCGTCTCTAGTTCCAGCTCCTGCCAACCTAGCAGTTCGAAAGCAAGAAATTGCAAGTAGATAAATAGGTACCACTTCGGTGGGAAGGTAACAGCATTCCGTGCGCCTTGGTGTTTAGTCATGCCAGCCACATGACCATGGAAACGTCTTCGGACAGCGTTGGCTCTTCGGCTTTGAAACAGAGATGAGCACCGCAACCCTAGAGTCAGACTCGACTGGCTTTCGAACAAGGGAACCTTTACCTTTACCTTTTTACCATAGCCAGTGTCCAACTGGATAATCCAGTGCCAAATTACTCATAATTTGCAAGTGTGAATTTTTTTCTTCAGTTCTGTGTTTGGATTCTTCCATTCTGAGCTAAACAGGATCTTAGACTCAGGAGAAAGAGCCATTATTTACTTCGGAACTCCCTCCTCAGGGTGATTAGTCGATCTCTCTCCGTCTGTGTCTTTCGCCAGCAGGTAAAGACTTTTTGGTTTCATCTAGGATACCCCCAATAACGCTTGCTGGCTCTCTTTCTGGTGCTGTTTATGTGTTTTTAATTAAATTATTTTATCATTTAAAATGGATTTTAATTGCTCAAATGTTTTAATTTTTTTTATGTTTGCCACCTTGTGGACCCTGATCAATTGGAAAGGCAGCATAAAAATGTTTTGAATAAGTAACTAATTGATAACAAATAGAAAGTTAATAAATGGTATGGGGAATCCTAGGAACAGGGATTCTAACAAAGATAGCACAACTTTGCTAATGAAAGGCTATGACTAAGTTTGAAAGACAATTTTTGGGCACAACAGATGTAAAGAAGGAATAATATGGGAAGAAACAAGGAAGATACACTTGTGATGATGAAACATTAGAAGGTGTATGACTCTGCTCAGCACTGACACTTACTAATGCTCATCAGATTGTACAGTGGTGGGTGGAGAGGTCTCTCTCACATGCAAATGCTGATCTGCAGTAGGACAGATAGATTCGAGTCCAGTAACACCTTAGAGACCAACAAGAGTTTCACGGTATAAACTTTTGAGATTTGAATCTTCCTGGGTCTGATGAATATATTGCAGTGCTGAGTAAATGTGATATCCCAACAATAGAACAACTACCCTGAGGAAATGGATCCTCTATTACATCTAACGACTGTGGATTTATTGTACAATGAAATAATCCTCTACAAAGTTTTTGAGTGTGCCCTCTCAGGGTGCATCATTCTACCATGTTGAGAAGGGGAGCACTGGGACTTCCGGTTTATGGCGGTGCGCTAGCAGACTCACCTCCCGGACCTCCCAGGGGTGAAGCTCTGCTCCAGCCGAAGAAGGGGGTGTGCAGGCTCGCAAACCCCCCCCCCCAGGGGCCTGGCAAAGGGACCCTGGCCATGAAACTTTCAAGAGGTTGCCTCTTCAAGGGCGGAATGCCTGAGAATTGAGGCACCTCTTTGTTCCGACGGTTCTCCGTGCTTTGAGATCGAATGGGCTTAGTGACGCTGACCAGGCCGAGCGCAGGAGATCACGCGGCAGAAACGAAAAAAGCGAGGTCAAATGACCGATTATGAACGTGAGTCAATTTCGCAGTGTTTAAAGAGGAAAAGATAGCTCCCCACCCCACCCCACTGAACAGGAGAAAAAAGCGAGTGGGGGAGGGACGCCTCCCATGTGCATGAATTTTTGAGTGATTGAGGGGGGGAGCGGAAGAAAACGCAAAGAAAACTGCCTAGAAGTACTTACCCAAGCGAGTCTAAGTGGTCAAGCGCACATTCAGAGACTTTTTAAAAGTTTTCGAAAATAAACAAACGACAAAGATGGCAGGGAAGAGGGACAAAGAAAGACTTTTGAAAATGAAACCGGAGAGTCCAAAACCAGAAACTACCAGTGAGATGGCAAAGGCTGTAGCTGACTACATGCGCCCTCTACTGGAACAGCTGAATAACTTCAAAGAACAGATTCCGTGGTTACACAAGGTATTACTGCACAACAAACGCAAATAAACGACTTAATACAAATAATGAAGCAAGATGCTGAGAAGGTAAAGGAAGTGGCCGCAACTATGCAGAAAGTGAAGAAGAAAGTGCAAAAGTTGGAAAAGAAACAAACTTCCTTGGAAGATCAAATGCTGCAAGTCCAAATGGATAAGGCCAACATGGTCCTGCGCTTCCAGGGTGTGCCAGAGAATAGAGCGGAGAATCTTAAAGAACTGATGAGTGAGCTACTAGCCCCAGTAACAGAAATAAAGGCGGAATCGCTGCTCAACGATATGGATGTGGCTTACAGATCATACTCAGGATATATAAAGAAAAATAATCTGCCTGGGGAAATTGTAGTAAGATTCTCGAAGAGGCACGTCAGGGATGCTATCCTGAAAGCGGTTGCTGTAACACCTCTGAAAGCAGGGGAGAACACCATCAGAACGCTAAAGGATATTCCATTTGAAGTAAGACAACGCAGAAAGAAATACAAAGAACTTGTACTTTTTCTTCAAACAAACTCAATTGGATATAAATGGCTATTTCCAGAAGGCGTAACGTTTAAGATAAGGCCTTATAAGTTGCGGAAGAGAAGGGAAAAGAAGAAGTAAGGCTGAAGGACTCTGAATTGTGTCTTTGAGAACTCTGGTTTTGGGATGATTGGGGGTACTGTTACTAGACAGTTAAATTAAACTCTAAGGGAAAAGGGCTATAAAGGTTTGACTCAATTTATAAAGGGATCAACGATGAGAAGACTTGATGTATCTAAGCTAGTTGGAGGATCTCCTCTCTTGGGTTTTTAGTTAGTAGTGGGTTCTTTACTTTCTCCTGTATATGTAGTTTTCACCTTCCTTTCTTTTCTGTTGTAGTTTTTGTAGTGGATAAAAATCAATTAAAAAATCCCCTCCGGGGGCTTAAAAAAAAAGAAAAGAAGGGGAGCACTGGTGGAGATCTAAAGGTATCATTGCATTTTCCAGGATCCCAAGAAGGTTTGTTACTTTGGGTGTAGTTCAGTGGCGTAGTGTGGGGAGGGGCCCTAGGGGGGGTTACCCTGGGCACAAAATTCTTAGGGGTGCAAAATTTCAAAAGAAAAAAAAGTAGTAATGATAAATAAAAAATAGTGTACCCTCCCCCCTCACACAGAAAATCTCCCAATGTTCGAACATTCTACACAATTTTTCAACATGATGGGGCAAATAAACGTTGCCATGTAACATTTTATAGTATTTTTCTTGCTAATTACAGCCATACTGTCCTCATGTAATCCTTATCAGTGAATTACATACATAATGCCTATTAAAAGCATGATTTCCCGTTTGAAGTAATGTTCCATAACTTGCATAAAAACCATAATTAAAATTCGTAATTTCACACCGAGTTGCAACGGGTGCCTAGATAGCCTGGCTCCTCCTTCCCTACCCGCCTTGTCTCCGTGATGTGTGTGACACTGATAGTTGCGTTGTGTAATTTTTAAAATCCACCTCACGCCTGAAGTAATCCTTAAAATGCCTACGTGTACAGAAGGTTTTCTACTCAGAATGACATTCACCTCTACAAATATTATATGGTTTTATTTTAAAAGTGAAATAACAACTGGTTGAAAATTGGTGCAAGAAACAATAAGAACAGTAAAGGAGGTAAAGGGAAAATAAACAAAACATACTAATACAACTAGCCATACAGTCCCTGTTTCTCTGAGTTCTTTCCTTCACTAACTCACCCCTTCTGAGTGAGGGAACTTTTCTGTCCACAGCAGCTCTTCTGAGAAAAGAACACCTCCCCTTCTGGGTAAAGCCTTACATGCTTTTCTACCAGGTCCCACCCCTTTGTCCTCCATTGGGCCAGTTGTCCCTCTAAAACTGCTGGCTGACCAATTAGAGAGATCCTTCACCAGCAATTTGCTTTCCTGCAAATCCAGACATTGTTGGATACTGAAACAGATTATTTTTATCAATGAACAAATTCAGCACACGTGCACTGCTAAGTACACAGAGTTGAATGCTGCACCTATGATTGTCGAATAAGTCGCCTTTGGCAACACATTGTCTTATATAAGGAAGTCAGTCCTGATGAGCAGATTGCTAACTGGACAGCTTTAGATTTGCTTCAGTGGGTGTACAAGTGGAAGCTGCAAGAGAATTTGACTAACTTTGTTGTGACGTTAAGAATCTTTTTAACTATCACTGTTTCAACTGCCAGTTGTGAAAGAAGTTTCTCAAAACTTAAATTAATCAAAACGTATCAGAGATCTACAATGAGCCAAGAAAGACTGATTAGCAATACTGAGAGAGGTTTCAATGTAGATTTCAATACTGTTATTGAAAAATTTGCACAAATTAAAACCAGGCAGTTTTAAATAAATTTGTGTATGCTAGCATTACGTTCATTTTACTTTAATACATCTGTATTTTCTTAAAATACAATACATGTGCTTGGGGGTTAAGCGGCTCAGTACTGTACAGGTTCAGTACTGGACTGGTGGAAAGGACTCAGGGAGTGGTAACGGTCCACAGGTTAGGGGGTGCAATACTTGCCTTGCTCCGGGTGCTGGCAACCCATGCTATGCCACTGGTGTAGTTATGGGTTTTTTTTCTTGCCACCCAAAGGCAAAGTGGGAGGTACTCTCTGGACTTGGGGTTCTTTACGTGAGTTTCAGGCTGGTTTTGTTTCTTCCCAGCCAGGTCTCTAGACAAACTCTATAACTTTGCTGACTGCTCTGGCCTCCACCTCATCTTTGCATTGAATGCTCTGCGTCGAAACCCCAACAATTCTTGGAACAGCTCCAATGCCCTCAGCCTGCTCAAGTACAGTGCGAGCAAGAAATACAACATCTCCTGGGAGCTGGGCAATGGTGAGTGGGGCTGAAGTGGAGAAGGACGGGAGGAGAATAATAAGGGTTTCTGTGGTCAGTTCAAGTCCTAATTGGGAGCAGCTTGCAGCCTTCAGTGGCAAAAGTGGCACAGTGCTCAGCGACTAACAGTCACTGGGATCCACCAGCAAATTGCATCAGGGGCCACTAAAAGATTACTATTCTGAGGATCGTGGGAAGGAAGAAACATATGGGATAGAAGATTTGCAAGTCCCCAAACAAAAAGAGGACCAGTAGAGTTCCATCTCCAAGCTGGTGAAGGTTACCCATGATGGGCAAACCTTTCAGAAAAACTGAGAGCTAAACCAGACGTTACGGTCCAACCCATGGCCACCAACACCAGTTTAGAGAAGAATTTGGCCTTTTAAAATTTTATTTATTCATTCATTCATTCAATTTATACCCCACCCTCCCCACTAAAGCAGGCTCAGGGCAGCTTTCATGAAAATCAGACATATAAAATAACAATGATAACATGCTAGTTAACAACAAACTTCTGATAATAGTATTATATAGAGATGGTGGAACTGTCATGTTAGAATATTCAAATAGGGTCTAGTCTGTGTTAATGAGCCGCTCATCTCGATCTATTTATGCAGCAAGCACAGCTTCTGATGGTAGTCCAGGAGGAAAGGGCCTTATTGCAGTTCAGTTGTTAGATGCAGCTCCTTGGTTGAAGGCCTGGTGGAAGAGCTCCGTCTTGCAGGGCGCAGGCCCTGCAGAAAACGCCATGAGATTGTGGCTATGATGCATTGGGACCAGGGGACCCCCTCCCCTGTGTGCCTTTTCAAGTGCTGAAACAGCCCCCCCCCCATGCCTCAGTCAGGATTGGGCCCTCATGGCATTTTTCAATCACCAGATCTTCTCTAAAATGGTGCTGGCAGCCACCAGTTGGACCTGTGGCTGCTATAACATCTTGTTTGGCTCTGAGACGTTATTAAATGCATGTCTCTGTTTGCTTGCAGAGCCAAATAATTATCGAGCCCTGACAGGGCGAGCAGTGAATGGCACCCAGTTGGGCAAGGATTACATGCAGCTGAAGAGCCTGCTGCAGCTGATCCGCACTTACTCTCGAGCCAGCCTATATGGACCCAACATTGGGAGGCCTAGGAAGAACGTTGTGTCCCTCTTGGATGGGTGAGTGATGTGGTTAATGGCAAACAATGATCGGAGTCAGAAAATCTTCTACTCTAATGGGGTGAATGCCTAGCTCTCCAGGTGCTCCCTGGGCTTTAACTGTTGCGTGGCAGTGAAAGGCTCTGTAGATGTGGCTACTCCACTAATGATGACGCAGGAGAAGGAAATGCCATGTTTGTCATACACTTATTAAAGATGGAAGCTATTTGGGCATCAGTGGTTCAAACCATACAGACTACTCTCTTATTATCTCTGTTCTTGATTTCCAGTGTTTGTTCTGCCACTGGAAAGACCAAGAATATTATGGCATTGCAGGCCAAAAGTGCTAAAGTTGCCAGGTCCATCACAGCAGTGTTCCCATGACTCTGTCACTGGATCACCCTGTTGTATTTCTCCTGGTCTCCCCCCCCCCCCCCCATGTGATTTCCTGCCAAAACTACAAAATATTTGGTGGAATCATAGTCATTAGGAATAATTACTAATTACTTCTTTCAAACACCCAACTTGGGAACCTTTTTTTTCTGAGCCAGTTTGGTGTAGTGGTTAAGTGCGTGGACTCTAATTTGGGAGAACCAGGTTTGATTCCCCACTCCTTCACTTGCACCTGCTGGATGACCTTGAGCAAGCCATAGTTCTGTCAGAGCTGTTCTTGAAAAAGAGCAGTTTCTGTCAAGAGCTCTCTCAGCCCCACCTACCTCACAGGGTGTCTGTTGTGGGGACGGGAAGGGAAAGGAGTTTATAAGATACTCTGAGACTCCCTTGGGTAGTGAAGGGTGGGATATAAATCCAATCTCCTCCTCCTCCTCCTCCCCCCCCTCCCCCCCCACCAATCTCCTCCTCCTCCTCCTCCTCCTCCTCCTCCTCCTTCTTCCTGATTAACAATCCCTGTATTCCCCTTCTGTCTGAATGGGAAAAAGCCCTGAGCAGCAATGACCAAGTATAAGGAGAGAGGACAATGCACATGCTGGCCATGGATCTTACCATGTTTTAATACATGCCAGGAAGGAAGGAAGGAAGGAAAATGTAAAACAGAAAAACCAAGTGCAAAAATGTGCGGGATATCATAGGTGTAATTGCAAGGCAGCAGAGGCAGCACTTCAGAGACAGATTCAGGGATAATAAATGGGTATAAATAATTGAATACAAGCCAGCTATGCAGTGGCTTGGGCCATTTTATGCTGTATCCACAAAAGCGATGGCTCCCAGGCTCAGAAACAAATCATGCGACTCTACCAGGAACTGGTAAGGCCATACCTTCTGGGAACCACAGTCCAGGAAGAATGTTAATAAATTGGAAAGGTTTCATGGGCAAACTGCAATGATGGCAAAGGGATTAAAGGACATTCTCAATAAGAATAGGAAAGGCTAGAAGAATTGAGTTTGTTTTGCTTCAAGAAGAGGCGGCTGGGGGGTGTTCTAGTTAAAAAATGTTAAAAGTTTTGCATTCTGATCCTGTCCAGGTTTACTTGGAAGTAACCCTCAGACTTCAATGGGACTGACTCCCAAGTAACTGCCTTCTAGGACTGGATCTCTGAACAGATTGGAACAACTACTTCTAATATCAGCAGGGATATGATGAGACGTCAGGACTGAGTAAACTGCTTTAAAGTGCTTTAAAAATCATAATTCAAACCCAGATAACCCTACAATCTGAATTATGTGACGTTATCACTATCAATTTTTTATATGTTTTTGCAATATTTTCCCCATCAATATTCATGTTCTTCAGATCCCTGAAGGGCTGTTATGTGGAAGAAAGCCAAGACTTTTCCTCAGCTATTCCAGATTTAATGTGTTAAAGTTACAGCTGAGCTAAAGTTGTTTGAACATTATGGAATGGAAAGAACAGCTTGACATAGAACCCATTATTAATTGGGGGGAACACCCCCTCCCTGGAGGTTTCCAGTGACAGACTGGACAGTCATTTGCTGGGGATGCTTTAGCTTTGGATTTTCCGCACTGAACAAGGGGTTGGACTAGATAGCCTATTAGACCCCTTCCAACTCTAGGATTCTCTGAGGTGGAGGGGGGGAATTAAATATTCTGGGCACTGAAGCCCTCTGCTCGGATTATCTGGCACCTTACTCAGTTACTCTCCTGGTTTCTAAAGTAACACTGCTCAAACACCTTCAAAATTCCGCACAGCAATAAGGGTCAGAAAAGATCCTTCTTAAAAAGCCAACATTTTGAGAAAGTTGACTTCTGCGGTTGACACCTATGGAATTGTGGCATACTCCTAATGAGGAGGAGGAGTTGTCAACTTTAAGGAAGCAGATTGAGGAGGACAGACTGCCTGGGGAGGTTGGAAGATATCCTTCTTTAGATGGGTGGCCATGTTAGCCTGGAGCAGAAAATGAAACAGGACTCCTGTTTTATCCGTCTTCAGAGATAGTTCAAAGAATGTTGGTATGGCACCTACTAGGGCTGCTTTAGGTATACACTATAATAGGAATAAGGCCATGGGAAGGATCACTTGATCCTTCAATGGGACTTAAAGTTGAAAGTCTTGGTTTGCCGGTTCAGGGTTAAGCCTGCATGCTACTGTCCAGAGCTGATGAAAGGAAGAGACTGTAGATGTATCTGCATTTTCTTCTTCATCCTTTGATTATAGCATGAGATGTTAGTATCCTATAATATTAATATTAAAATTGGGGTTACATTAGTCATTTAGACTGAGCAACCAAAGAGCTTTTGCTTGCTGCTGTTCATACGGCCTAATATTCTTACCTTGTGGTCCTACGTTTGTTCTGCCTTGACTTGCTTCATGTTTTGCATTTTAGCCTCAGTCTCTCTTTCTGTCTTGCATAGACAGATCCTACTGGCTGTTTTGAAAGAAAAAAATCAAGTATATATATTAAAAATAAAGTAGCTTCTTGTACCTGTCCACTTAGGGTTATGAAACTTCAGTCTTTTGAATTGGCTACCAAAATACAATATGGCTGGTGGGCTTGACAGAAGTATTTTTCTATCTGAAGTAGCACAGATGCTTGGGGGCAGTGTTCCCTCTAAGCTGAGTTAGTGTGAGCTAGCTCACAGTTTTTTAGCCTCCAGCTCACACATTTTTGTCTTAGCTCAAGAAGCATGGCTCCAGAGCAAACTAATTTATGCATTAGCCAAATTGCTTGCTCACAACTTTAATGCCAGTAGCTCATAAAGTAGAATTTTTGCTCACAAGACTCCACAGCTTAGAGGGAGCATTGCCTGGGGGAGATGTGGTGTCTCTTGTTCTTTCTTAGTACTGCCTGTGCTGGTTGCCTGCAGAGTGGAGAACTGATATATGTACAGGTGCAAGAGAATTTTTACAGATGGGACAACCAGCCCCATTTGATGAAGTGTTAATTAGGCTGTTCAGGCAGCCAGAGCTGCTGGGAACAGCCTGTATTTGTTCCTTACTATGTAGGGTCAGAGTCATGGTATTCTTTAAAGTTCCCAGAGGATCAATGGCACTGTTAGCAGTAAGTCTGAAGACATTACTCTGGATCCAAGTTCTAATGGGAACTCAACTATGGAAGATTATGCAGGATTAAGATTGGGAGACAGTGAAATCACACAGTGGTCTGACAGCTTCACATAGCACTTTGAGAACACGGAGAGAAGAATGCTGAGTTACTAGATGTTGATTCCTAAAAACATCAGTGAAACTCCTAACAGAATGTACAAATTCAACACTAGGATCTTCCACAGCATCATCTCCAATCTCATGAAGGTTGTGAAGTTCTTCTGCTTCAGTACCCTTGTCACCTCTTCCCTCCTTTGCTAGGAGCACAGTGCTCCCAGATCTTCTATGCTTGTATAGCAATGGGAATTTCACCTGGTGCTGCATTTCCCTTCCTTGCTTGACAAGCTGTTCCTGTCAGCATTCTATGTCCAAGAGCCTTGTCCTCCTTTTCATCTGGCTACCTGCCCATCATCACTGATTCTTCCCCATTGCAGCCAAATGAAGTATGCCACTTAAGTGCAATTTCCTTTCCCTCACTATCTTCCTAAACAGTGAATGATTGGTGGGCCTCACACATGTACCACTTCCAGAAATGTCAGCTATACATTGATTCCACTGACAGGGCTGTTGCAAGGAGGGAATAATAGACAGAGCCTCTCCAGCTAGGAAATGAAAGTGAGGGCATTTTAGCATTAGGATTAGGTAGGTAAAGATGGGTGCTGAGCTACTGCTTATGTTTGTATGTGTTCTATCGTCACAAGTGATTTATGGTGACCCCAGCAAGGGGCTGTTAGGGCAAGTGAGAAGCAGAGGTGGTTTGCCATTGCCTTCCCCTGCAGAATGCTTCGAGGTAGTCTCCCATCCAAGGACCAACCCTACTTAGCTTCCCAGATTTTAGATTGGGCTGTACCCTACCATTTCACAACCATGTATTCTCATGTACAACAGACTGTAAGCCACAAACCACAGACAGAAAACACTAGCTCAAACAGGGGTGGACTGGGAAGGAAAAATGACCATGGAAAAGGGCCTCACTCTGGCTTTGCCCCCTAAAAGAGGGAGGAAGGAAGAAGCAGGTGCCTGCCTAGCCGGCCAGGTTCCTCTTTCTGGGCAAAGTGTGGGATCAGGCCCTGTGTGGGACTAGGCACAGCCCTTCTTCCACTGGACTGATCCAGCCCATGTTGGAGGGAGGCCATTGACCAGCTGGGAGAAGTCTTGATGACCATAATGGTCAATCTGTCCCTGAACTCAAAACCTGAGCTGTTCTGCTGATCCTGTGGGGGTCTTGGCACCCTTTTTTCATTTGCAGTAAAAGAGTACCTGATAGAACCTGCTGCCTTGTCTGAGACACATCTCGTGGTATGATCGTGCTGATGCTTGCTTAGATGATGAAAAAATCAAGCAAGTGTTTGGAATACATTTATTCAATTTCTTCTCTCCTGAAAGTCATGAGAGATCATAAAAGAATGAAGGCCACATGCCACAGTGGAAGGAGAAGCCTGGGCAACCAGAATGCAAGTCAATGTGACCCTCTGAATTACCCTCATTTGTAAAATGCAGG